ATTTAACGGTCTAGCAGCAACCGTTTCGGCCCCTCCGAGTCCTCTTCATGCGCATTGTTATCTCCCCACGCCCGCATCTACGCATCATCCACACCCGAATCGCCATTCGGCGCCAGAGCGGGAAGAGACTGGTTGTAACACGTCGCGTGGGCTCACACATCGGCTGTCGGACTTCGAAAGAGCATGCGGACTTGCTTGTGGCTCTGGTACGAGCGATGCCTTGTGAGAAAACAGCCGGTGAGAGCTGGCGGACGCGTTGAGCGGACTTAGGTCTGGAGCATAAGAGGAGCAATTCATCTGTGTGTATCGCGGTTCTTATACTCTTATTGATCACTGAGTACTGAGCGCGAGCACAGATTGTCACACGGTCTTACCCCCGGCCCTCCTCGGCCAGCACTGCAGGCGGCCCTCTCCCCGCATACCACGTCGCCACAACCATTGACAGAGGACGTTTCAAAAGGTGGTATCACGCCGAATTCTATTGGCTCGGGATACCCACTGTGGGCGCTTCGGCATCTAGGGTGTGCGCGCGTATGGCTACAAAGTCGTGAGAGCGGGGTGCGCGCTCCTTGATGATGGAAGTCGACCTCATCTCTACGGTACAGGGTACCCACAAGTACTCAGAGGGGTCCTCGCTGGCGATGCACGGCAATGACCACGCGTCCAAAAATGCGCTACTGTCGTGCCTCACACTCCAGTAGAAGTCGTCCACCGTTGGGCGAGCGGGATTGGCTCTCGCGTAGTCGGTGCGTCGCTTTTCACTCTCATCCGACGTGCATCGAAGGCTTACCAAATGATGCAGCAACGGTTTTGATCTCGAGTGCCCTCTCAGTCCTCTCGCTACCAAGGTCCAGCCAGCGCGTCTTACCGACGATCCCTCGCGGCTTTGGCGACAAGACGAGTGTTGGAGGGTATTTCCGATGTGCGCGCGGATGATCAACATGGGAATCTGAGCGCGCCCTTTGCAGAATCCGGACCAGTTGTATAGCTTACGCATTTACATGTACTTACTCCGTCTATGCTACTAGTATACGCGTGCTGCAGGCCGGAGATTAATTGACTCATCGTCTTCGACGGGTCTTGTCTACATCGCGGGTCGTTCAATAGCATCACGCCGTATGCATCCTTGCAAGTCTTCGATGGCGGTTCGCCTACAGATCGTCAGTGAATAGGGGTATGGTCGTGAGGAAGAAGACTCTTACCTGTATCTTCCATCCTCTGTACGATAACGTTCCAAGACGTCAACTGATTCTTCGGCCGATAATCGGCCGAAAGCCCGCGGAAATGCTTCATATGCGCCCGAAGGCGCTCAAACACGCCGTACAGCTCGCAGTCGCCGGGATCGAGGATAACGTTGGTGTCTGCGTAGCCAAAGAATAGACCTGGAGATCGTCCTGGGATGCGCCAGAGGGTGGTGGCGCCGTCTCGGCACTGGCCTAAGCGAGGAACGGACCTTGAAGGCGCGTGCATGCTACCGGGCTCTGCGTCGTGTTCGACGACGTAGTAGCGTGTGATGTTCGAGCCGTAGGTGTCGGGCCAGCCGTGGTCGTCGTGAGAGAGTTGTCGTAATGGAGAGGGATGGATGAGGAGGGTAGGGTTGCAGACGGTGTCCCGGGTATCGTTGGGGCCCGTGACTGGATGAAGTTGGTAGCAGTGTAGAAAAGGGGCAGCGCTGCGGCGCTCAGGTGTCGACGTGGTATCTTTCTCGAGATCTTCGAAGATCTAAGAGCAGGTTGTCAGAGATGAATGAATGAAACTCCAATGGTGAACCGGGCGCTCGTACCGAATCGAGCGTCTGAGAACGTGATGCGTCGTCGTTGGCGAGACTGAAGACATGGAGAGCGTACAGCATGAGAGGTTTGCACGGCATAAGCACCACCAGTGGTACTTGGTCCTGCGTGTACATCAGCCACTCGTGAGCGCAACGTTGGCAGGCTGACATTTCCGTTAGACTAGGCAGGACGACCAGCATGAACGTCGAGGCTCACCGAACAGGCCGTTCGAGGCGGTGTAAGGCTTGAACACCGATGTGTAGAGAGACTTCTTGCAGATGTAATACTGAAAGGCTCGTGAGCATGACTCTTCGACGAGGGTGATATCAGTGCAAACCGTGTAGCGCTCGCTCAGGAGGGGAACATAGTGCCCGTCCTGTGCGCTCACTATTGCCTTGCACAAGACACACTTGGAGTTAAAGTGGCGCCGGATCTCTGCGCGGGCTGGTTCATCGAAGAACGCCTCGAGCTCTTCATAAGAGTCTGCCATGATGAGCCAGGAAGCTGGTGGTAGTCGTGGATAAAGGAGAGACTGGAGCCAAGCCTCCTGTGGGCGGATTGGTCCCGCCTACGAGATACCCCTTACGATCGCGCGAGTCGCGCTCACGTAGTTGTATCCAACGCGTAGACAAGGATCCTCTCGGATTTGAGATATGCGGCATCTCTTCAAGAGATGTATTGGAATGCACCGCCGCGGCGGTCTACTAGTCAAACGGTGCGAGTGCATGCTACCAAGATGGGGCAAGCAACTGCGGCTTGGGCACGAGTAGCACTGCAATAACGAGGGCGCACTGGTCCGATGGCAGAAGCTCCCAGACATTCGTGAGCCGTGTTTATAATAATCTGGCTTGCGCCAGTCTGATAGACGGGTATGCCGTATTCATCATTGGGAGCGAGATGGTGGTAAGAGCGAAGGCGCGTCAACGCCGCCCTCGTGTGCGCGCTTCCGTCTGAACGACCACTAGTCTACCACCTTGTACCGTATACTTGCCCGCCTGTACTGGATTACTTCACCGTGCTCGGCCAAATAGCTCGAGGTGCGGCTATCTATAAACTGTTGAAATAAAGCCGGCTTTCATGTTCTTGTCCAGGAAAGCGATCATTGCCACGTGGAAACCTTGAGCCGGGCAAATCACAGTGTTCACCCGCTCGTATATGACGAAATGTCCACGTTCCGAGCCCAGCACACTCTTAGTATGCACCTCAGGCATGATTGAAAGATCTGTATACCATCAGAAAGTGCATATATTGGGTGCGTCGATCAGGCAGGCGAGCAAAGTTGAGCGTCGGCGCGCACCGAGCGTTTCGGGCAGCAACGATGCGAGATCGGCAGCTGCCATCCGCGTCGCGGTTGCAAGGTATAGAGGAGGGGTGCGCACGCATGATGGTGACAGTGCTATAGAACGTAAGAGGATGAAGAGTACAACACGGTCCGCAAAGAAGAGGGGAAGGTACATGGACGAGAACAATGACAAGACAGGGGAACAGACACGAACGTTAGACATGCGTAATATAGGAGCACAGACAGTCATACAAGGATCAAGAGAGCAGAATGCAACGAGAATAGGTATAGTAGGATGACAGCACCTCCGAAGACCATATAACAAGGGGAGCTTCGCGCGGATATCAGTCTCATGCCGCCAAAATGTCCATCGATTGCCGGTGCTGCTCTTCGAGCATCTCGCTAAACAGATTCTTCTCGAACTCGCTCAGAGGTTCACCGGGCCTCGCGCGCTTGCGATCGACGGGGTCATCCGCGGCATCATAGTCGCGACTGCGCTTGAGCGATGTCACGCCGGCGGTGAACTCGGCAGGCGGCCAGTTGACGAGTTCGGCGCCATATGACTGCGACGACGACGGAATTGTACGAGGTATCGAAGAAGGGCCTGAGGTGGATGTCGAAGAAGAAACGGTGTAGAAGCTGAGCACCCCAGCATCCTGTTGAGCGACTAGGGGAGCTGGAGGAGAATCCATGGGCATCCGCGATACATCGGATGAGGAGCGGAAGGTGAAGGCATAACTCGAAGAAGGGCTTGAAGCAGTGGTGAGGTATCTGCCACCGGCCTGGGTAGCGCTAACAGGCTGCACGATGTAGCTTTGATCGTGCATGCCGACGTTCGTTGGCGACGTGACAGGGTACCGAGGCAACTTGGCGGAGGGCGCGCACTGACTCTGGGTATCCCGAGTTGCGTGATCATGCACAGGGACAAAGCTGTCTTCGAAGTATTGGCGAGTGTCCAGCGCGACTGTCAGCGACGCCGTCCTGCACGAGCTACTCGCAGCGGCGTTCCTCGCGCGCGGCTGTCTCACGGAGTATCGCGATGCCCGTGCGGAAATATCGTGCATCTGTAAAGCCGGTCAGTAAACCCACGAGGCGTCGTAGAAGGTGTGACTTACCGTATATTCAGCATGTGTACCGCTCACGTCCGAGGCATCTGCTACCTGCTTGCATGATGATACAAAAACCCGAGCATCGACTTCACGCGTATGGGTCACAAGCAATGCATGATCGGACATCGGGGAGGACAGCGTGCAATGCGATTGAGCAGATGCGCGGAGCATGCTGGGGGGTGCGAGTGAGGTGCGCTGAGACCGAACACGAGTAGCCGCGGCTACCGAGTGAAGCGAAGGGGTTGCAGGCGCGCTCGAGGTCGCCTTCTTTCCTTTCTTAGACTTATTCTCCTTCGTTATTCTACGAGCGATAGTCGCAGGTGTGTCGGGCGTCGCCCACGTTGTCGTGGTGGGAATGTCGCTGGGCAATGGCGACTGCATTGAGAAGCTTGGTGTAGCGGAGATGGAGGGGTCGTCCTGCGAGGCGACAGGCGTAGGAGACACTGTAGACACAGGCTCTGTGCTGAAACTCTCAGGGGAGGTATTTGCAGACCCTGGCGCATCAATGATACCTCGGGCGTTTAGGATTGTCCGCTGGTGCACAAGATCGCTAACACGACCGAGGTTCTCAAAATATGCCCTTGAGTGTTGTTTTCCCCTTCTACACCATGCCCGTTGTAAGCGAGGCTTGTACAGCAGCAAAGAAGGGTACAGTACGCACTGGTAACGCCGAGGAAATGGCACTGCACGCAACATCTCGTCGAGATCCGGGGCCAGCTCTTGTGAGGAGGATAGAGCCATGATATAAGCAATAAACAGTAGAAGAGTGCGAATACAGACGCAAAAGGCTATGACTCTGCCGTTGTCGTAGAGTCTGAGGTCTGGTTCAGGATGGCCTTTATATTATGAGGAAAGTGGACTACCTACCGTTGAGCGGAAACCACCCGGGTTTGTGTTCCTGATGCGAAGTTCGCAAACAGAATACGCGTACGTGTTCAAGATTCGTCAGAGATGTCCAGGCTTCTGCGATCGAGTCCGGGGGCGACGTCGGGCCGAGATGGTGACAGCGCTTAGACTGGACCACACGATCGGCTTGCAGTCGTGCGTGACCTTCTCCTAAGCTCGCACCTCTGGCTGCAAGTACAGAATAAGGTGCATGAGCCAAGTATCTTGCGTAGCGGGCGAGTACAGTCTTCGAAGACAGCGTCCGCCTGGATCTGGAGAATCCCTGCTCGTAGAGAAAACCGCCAGTCAGAACATACACATCGGGGACAATAGTTGCAACACTCACTCACAACCACTGGTGCGGCGCACGCATGTGGTAGGACGGCTTCATGTATCAAAATCTTAGATGGAAGCTGGTGAATATGTGCCTGGACGTCGCGTTGAAGCTGACCATGGCGCTTGCTCTGGAAAGCGGCTCTTGCCTCGTGTATGCAGTGGGCGTCATCCCGCTGCTTCTAATGAAGCCAACTGGGTGGTGCGTCTTGCCTGCAGGCACAGCTGGACACCCGCGCGGCGCGAAGAATTGTGCTGATTGGATAACGAGTAAGTGCGATTCGCGATTCCCTTGGTTCAAAGATGATGACGACGGGTCCGGGTGAGGCGCCCGCGCAAGCGAGATCCGATCGCTGGTTGGGTACGGGAAAGGAACAGCAATACGGCGCTGCTATTCGGGGTGTTCAACGGACGACGAGAAAGATCGTGATGGATCTCATAACACGCAGCACGCCGACAGTGTCGGCATACACGGTCGAAACAGCGTCTACTACTTGCGACTCCCAGTCGTTCCAGAGCGGCGAAGAGCACTCTCAGAACGGCCTTGAAGCTTGACCACGGGTGGGCGCTGTTGATTCCCTCCCGCGAGTGACGTAGTAGGTCATCCAACAAGGCAATACCTTTCGCTTGTCAAGGCAAACAACATGGCATTATCGTAGTCTACTACAAGTACTGTGTAACGTATGAGCCTTTGGTGTATCATATAGGCCAACGACAACGGTGCGCACCACGAGCAATGGTATGACTAGGGCATTGAGCATCATCATGGTCCTGGCAGACTACTCTACGAATGCCCTTCCAAAGCCAAAGTCTTGGGTACTACACCACTCCCTATGGTGGTCTCCAGCGCTGGTGGCTGAGCCCTGGTGCATCCTGGTGCGCCCGGCGGCGACTTGCCAACGACGACATCCTCCCCTGCTGCCGCCGTCCATTCACTCCGACACGGTAGCTTGTGCATGTGCCACTTTGATACTGGTAGTGGGTTCGCTCGCAAGGATAGCACGTTGAGGATGAGGTGGTGCAGACGGTCGACGATGGTCGAGGGTGCATGGGGCGTCTCGCGGAGAGAAGCCACGACGCGTATCAAGACTTCCTATACATTCTGTGCAAGGCGGTGTATATGAAGGTGTCCGAAAGTCCTGATCATAGTCACTTAGCAGTGTGGTGGAGTAGTAGAGCTGGGAGAAGCGCTGGCTAGTTGAGTTTCACGCGCGGAACAAGCCGACCTCCCACGGCCGAATGCCGAAGTGAACCGAGTTATAACCTTGGACCCACACGGTCATGTCGCGCAGCGCAGTCTCCGCGCTGTCGAATCGGGACGCTCGCAATCAGGGGGAGCCGAGACGTTCAGCTGGCTCGTACAGATCTCACAGCTGTGGCTGCAATCGAGCAAGACCTCCGATCTTCGTGGACCGCGCTCACACCCAGAAATCGATGGTTCGTCTTGGGGCTCGCAGAGAATGTGTTGGACGGATGCGCTATGGGAAACGAGACACGACACTCAGTGCTAGGAATCAGAGTTTTGTCACGTACCATAGGACAAACCTCTATAGATTATGCATGCCAGGCTACGTTTGCGTGACTGAAGCGCACTAGTAGACAAACGCCAACGGCGCCGCATCGGCTACAACAACCTGGACGAAAGCACGAACGGCTTGAAGCGCGATTAGCCACCTCATACTACTGACCAGCCCATAGCAGTACTGAGGCATACGAGTGGCAGAAAACTGGGGTAGGATGGCAAAGAAGCCGACATAGTACGCCAAGGGTTATGCGCAGGCGCCGCTGAGATTCACTCTTTCAGGTTGGCGCGCGTGAACAGAAACGACCTTTTCAGGGCCCTTCTTGACTAGTATGACGTACCGCCAGTGACCAGGGGTCGGCGTACTATGAACCTGACGCGTTTTAGATAGAGAAGGCGGTGAATGCGAGAGCCAAGAGCACCTAAACCACGCGCCTCCGAACTCGGAGATTAGAAGTTGGAACCCGTCCGTTAGGGAAGAACTTCGCTATCCTAGCGTTCTGGCATATGCGCATACACCTCGATTTTCTTCGCACAATGAGCATAAAAATGATGCGTCGCTCACTATCCGCATTCATGGCCGCCTTTCATTCCTGCATCACTCCAGTATGAGTCGATGAAACATCGTTATTCAGCGTGATAACTAAAGCCCGAAGGAAATGAGATATAAAAAGGGGCGGTATCGTAAGCGTGAAGGGTCCGGTACAGTGCGATGAGAGGAGAGGAGACATGAAGAGATGGAGAGTGTATACTTATACGGAATGAGGTGTACAGTACTGGTAATGGAGAGAGATGATGCGGGATAGCGGTGGTAAGACAGGGTGGGTGGATGATGGGACAACAGGTGCTGGATAAAGAAGAATAAGAGTAGACATGATGAGACGAAACAGACAGGGCATGTGGTGACAGTGATACAAGTACAGACGAATTAGATAAAGGCAGCAAACACTCTTCTGGAGTAGCCACTTTACGCCGCCATACCTCCGAGCCTCGGCATCATTCCCTAAACCACACTTCCTCAACATGCCCAAGAACGTACGTTCCCGCAAGGCGCGCTCGCTTCGAGTCATGGTCGTAGACGTCGGTGGCGTCGTAAGAGCGCTTAAGGCTCTGACGACCGGACGATGAGCCCTCGACGAACGCGGAAGAGGATGAGAAGTCGCCGTTGAACCCAACCGGATACTGCCCCATCCTGGATGGTGGTGCGAGGCTGGTCGGGTTGTAGTTGAAGTTGAAGTTGAAGTTATTCCCCTGCGAGCAGCCTCGCACGCCCGTCGACCGCGGATGCACGGGCACAGGATGGGAGCCAGGCGGGTGCGAGAAGTCGAAAGTGGACTGCTGGCCAGAGCTGCCAGGCTGACCAGCGTCGCCGAAAGGCTGAGAATTGTGACCATAGTTCGGCTCGCTGCCGAATCCCGTCCATGACGCGTCGTGCGGCGGCAGAGTCGTAGCCGGCGGCATGTTGGCAGGCCGGCCGTACTCGTTCTGAGGTTCCATGCCGCCGGAGCCATCCACCGACAAACTCCCGAACTGGAATGGCGCGTTCAAGTGCCAGCCCCCACGAGGGTCCACGACAGGGCCGGGCGCGTACGCGCTCGCTTGTCCGTTGTTACCAGCCAGCGCGGGAGTCGACGGGATTGCATAGTGCGGGTCAAAAGGGGCAGCCTGCTAGATTTGTGATTAGAGAAGCGCGATGAGAGAACGCAAAGGGTGTGGCTCACCATGTTGCCGTAGTAGCTGCGGTGGGCTGCGTTCTCCATCGAAGGACCAGCGGCAGGGTAGGAGGTCGCCGACGTTGTAGGCACAGGAGGGTATTGTACGTGATTATGGGCGGGAGTTGCGGGGAATGCCAGATCCTGAGAGGGGCCCGACATGGCGGGCGCGGCGGACGGTGCGTGCAGAGCGGGCGTAGCGGTACTCGTAGCCGGCGTGGTCCCGGATGATGCAAAGTCTGCCGCGGCTATAGGCACCAGCGGATGCTCTGGGCTATATATGTGCCCAATGTAGTTCAGGACCGCGCTCTGAGGGTTGAAACCGGGGTCGCGATGGAGATTGGCTTTTGCAAGCTCACTGGCCCTGCGATCACGAGTAACTTTGACAGTGTTCGGTTGTTGACTGCTGGGAGCCGGGGCCGTCGCTGCAGACCCTTCAGCTCGTTCCTTCAACTCCTTCTGCCTACGCAGCTGCAATGTGGTCCACTGATGCTCGTAATCATTCGCGGGAGCTGGGGTGGATACCGACGAGAAAGGCTGAGCCATGGCGTAGTAGGAATTAAAGGTAAGATGATCCACAGAGACTGTAAAGGCAAGGAAGAGGTGCGGACGACGAGTCCTGTCTCGACGGAGAGCGTCCAGTTCAAGCCTGAAAAGTCGGCCATTTTATTCAGGAGCCGTGCGACTACGTATCGGCCCCGGATGTTGGCGCAATCATGCGCCGTTCGCAGATAGAACGCGATGACGCCCGGAAGATCTAAGCGAGATCTCAACTCCGCGAGGCAGATCAGGACACTCGAACCGCAATCGCTGCATGAGCCTGTGCTCTCCATGTCGCATCGTAGACACTGCGAGCTCGCAGCTGCCAGTCTCTTTGCGAGATAGACGTCTGGATCCTACCCCGATCCTACCCAGCGTCAGTGTCGACAGACGCAGCTCTGCGTGAGCCGCTGGGTTGCGGCGTCCAGGAATCCCTTCTCTTCCGCCGTTCTACTGGTGCGCCGTAAGTGAGCGTAGACGTAAGATTGCCCAACCGCCATTGCATAATTCACCCCGCACCCATGCGAACGAAGACGCTGCGAAGTTGGTGCAAACCACCAGGGATGCTGCAAGCGCTGTCCTCGCTCGTGCGACACGCGACGAACAATAGAAGACTGATATCGGTTGCGAGGGAAGATCGCCGCGAGGCGCCTGGAGGCAGAGCTGGACTCCTGTATATTGCGGGCATGAGGCGGGATTGCCTAATGCGTACGACCAACCACGATCAATATGGTTTCGCGCGGCCGGGACGATGAAAGCGCCGGACGTGGCGGCCGCGGGGGCTGTCCGATGGGCGGAGCTGAGGTCGGAAGCCTACGAGAAGGAGGTCCAGCGTGTGGATCGGACTGGAAGCGCAGTAAAACGTGTTGGGGTATGCCGACGGAGGGGAGGTGTGACGAGGTCAGGTAGACAGTCGAGCATGACGGGTGAACCGATGTCCAGGCTGTCGGAGAATTAGTCAGAGTAGAGTGGATACTCTGTCCGGTCGGCGGCGGCCTCAAGGAGGGGTAGCGTGCATTCGTTGTTGCACGGGTCGGAGGGTAGAGTCGACGACCATGCCGACGAGGTCTTGCTCGATGTTGGGGCGTCTGGTGTCGTCGAAAGCTTGAGTCATGCGGGATCTTGCTTCACACAAGGAACACACTGGGTATGAAGGGCAAAACATCGATATGGTATAGTATTACAAGCACTGTGGCACGCATAAGCTCTGGTGTACATTGGGGTATAGAGCAGAGGCAGTGCGCACCACAGGCAACGAATATACGGCGACATCACGACGCTACAGCTGTTCACAATACTATATAGTAGAGAAGTCCGTCCAAGGGAGACTCGTCGGCGTTGACCTTCCACTCGGCATGCCTTGCAGTATCGTGCCCCTTCAAGTTTCAGTGGGTAGTCCACACTGAAGGGTACTGGCCGTTATCCTTCGGGTATGATAGGCTAGCTTCGCAACGCCGAGGTCGCATTGGGCGTTGTCCGTGGTCCAGAGCCTGGTCGATTACCGACTATTCGAAGTAGAGTGTTGCGATGGGTGGTGCAGTGGGTGGGACAAAGGCCGTGCGCAGGGGGAAAACTGGTTGAAATGTTCCCGAATTGGGGAAGAAAAAATGCCGAGAGCCTGGAAGGACATGCCAAACAGGTTAAAGCACGAGATGTCTACCTGAATAGAAAGCCAGTATCGAGATGAGGGCAAGAGACCAACTCCTACTCGGCAAACAGAGGTTTTATAAGCGGGAAGTCCCGGTCTCCCACGCTTGAAGAAGTCGTCGCCGGCAAGGCAAGTAAGTATGGACCAACATGGACACACGCGTCGAAATCTCAACGCGATTGCAAAACTGCTCGAGGGCAAAAGCTAAACAAGGAGGGAAACCCTGGACAGTATTAGCTAGACGCATGGCCTGACATACCGCGATACTCTACGACTTCGAAAAATTCCGTGCACGGACGCGTGCTCGAGCCGGCAACACACTGCCGTCATCGCCGATACTTACAGTCGTCGAAACTCGACGTCGCAAAGTACTAGAGCCGATACACCATGCACTTTGCACGTAGAAGTCATCTAAACGCCGATCTATCGCATTCATCCGAAGACATCGAGTGGAAAGCGATCTCGCATGGAGATACTTCAATCGGTGGCATATGCCACCGAGGCGCTGGATGATCCGTGTCAAGCACGATTATTTCAAAGCATATTCTAACCCAGACATAGATTTGAGTAAAGCATCGACCTATTTGTGTGTGTGAGCCAAAAGGGCGCGGGAGAGGGGCGGGCCGTCGGTTCGGAGTAGCAGAGAACGAGATCAGTGGATGTCGAGCGACACCAGGCAGAATACTCGTAAGATAGTTACAGTAGAGTGCATTCAAAGTATGTATAGAGTGGTATAGAACCGTATGTGATTCTGAAGGGCGGATGCGCGTTGGTGGAGGTCATGGTTCAGGTTCGCCTGAAAGACACCTGAAAGAAGGCCTCGCGCGCCTTGTAACGCGTCGGTCACACGGGCCGGAACGCGTCCATATGCGCCCATACCCTCCCCAGCGCCCCTAACCGCAGCGGCAGACGCGTCGCGACGGCGGTCCTTCCCCACTGCCTCCCATCACCTCCTCCAGTTTCCATCCCTTCACTCTCGTACCCAAAGAAATACCCACATAATGGCACCAACAAATACAGAACAGTCCTTCCGGTCCAATATCTCACAGTTTCGCTGGGCGCGGGATCAACAGCAGCAGCAGCAACAAGAACAACAAGGCAGCGGGGCGGGCGGTGCCTTTGGGAGGTTCTACTCCAGTATCGGGATTAGCGACTACGTTCCTCTACGAAGCAATGAGAGGAGCAACGAGGACGAGGCGTATTTTGCTCTCAGTCGATGGGAACGGTGCGTACTTCTCTTTTTGGACTTGTGGCGATGCAGGCTGTATATGCCAGACCTTGCGAACTTGACATGCACTCTGCACTGCATTGTCTAAGCGTTGTGTGAAGAAGATAGTCTGACGCCTTTTGTGCCATCTCTAGATTACTAGGATTCGTCGGTTGTCTAGTTGGTGCGGCGGTCTGCTTCGCCGTGGCCTTCTTCACTTTACCATTGCTCGCACTACGTCCCGCAAAGTTCGCACTGGCGTTCAGGTGCGTTCGACAGTGTCCCGTCAAATATGCTTTACGCTGACCGTTGTCTAGTTTGGGAAGTCTGCTGGTCATGTTTGGGTGCGTCGCGGCATGAGATCAGTTCAGAAAGAGGACGGCGCCTAATCAAGTCCACAGATTTGCGGTGCTCATTGGTCCTGTCAATCACATCAAACATCTCTGTCAGCGCGAGCGCTTGCCGTTCAGCGCCGCGTATATTGGTAGCCTCGCGCTGACACTCTACTTTGCACTTGGGGTACGCTCTGCTGTCCACCTTTCTCGCGCGGATTTGCGGATGCTTATTCGTGTTACCTAGCCTCACTCCTACATTGGTTCTCTAGTAGGCGCCATCATCCAGGTGAGCGCCTGTCTACGCATCGCCTTCCAATTCCTCATACCTTTGTCCTACCAGGTTGCCGCACTGCTCAGCTACGTCCTCGCGTACTTCCCCGGAGGCGTACAAACGTTACGTTTTGGCGGAAGTATGGCACTACGCGGTGCGGGGAGCTTATTGCCGTTCTGAATCTATATATACCCAAGTCCGAAGGGGCTGGACGATGCTTATATGCGGATGTACGAAGATATTTCGCGCTGTGGGTTGATATATGATATTGCGTGATCCGACACCAGCTTGCGCGCACTGACTTGAGTGCTATGGACGCGGACCAGCCGTTGGCCCCCGTCTCATCATCTCGACGCGGCGACACCGGAGCTTGTGTCGCGAGGCTCATTCCTCGGACGTGCGACTTCTCAATACAGTCGCTTTCTCTGACTACAACCGTCGAGCGGGTTGTCCGCTATGACACAAGCTCCCTGACCGGAGTACGACCCACCTCTCTAGCGCCAGCATATATGGAAGCGCTGGCAGGTGCTGCGTCCGCGAACGCTTTCAAATCGCCGATGCATTCGGTGAGAGTGTTCTATAAAGATGCTCTCGAAGTCCATCCTCATAACTCGATACTGTCACTAGATCCTCCCAGTCGACCGGCTCACTCTGAAAGTCGGCCTCCCCTCAACACGATGACGCCTCGAGAGCACACAGTTTGGCGGTTCAGCGAACTGGGAAAAGGTCCAACTGCACTAAAGCAGCACCGTGAACCAGTTCTGTCTCCAGGTCCTGGCCAATATCTCGTTCGTATTCATGCTGTGTCGCTCAATTACCGCGACATCGCGATCCCTAATGGCACATACGGCCTTCCTGGGATCAACGCAGGAATCGTACCATGCGCGGATCTCGCCGGTGAGATCGTGTCCGCAGGCGAGGTGAGCTACAAGTTGAATGCGGGATCTGCGAACTCGACCGCTAAACTCAAAGGGCAGCGAACCTCACAACTCCAACCCGGTGATAAGGTTACTTCCCTCTTTCACCTGAAGTACCTATACGGCGATGCTGCTCCTGATCGTACCAGTGAGTTACCGAAACCCGCGTATTGGTCCGTGCACGACGCTCATTGATCGGATACCAGACGTTCTTGGTGGCCCGCTAGATGGAACTCTGCAGGAATATCGCGTCTTTGACGAGGTAGTGTTACTTGGCGCACCAGCGTATCTCTCAGTGAGAACTTCTCGCCTGATTAGCAACTGGCTCATGCTGACGCTTGCATACAGTATGAAGAGCTCTCCACATTCCCTATCGCAGGACAGACCGCCTGGAATGCGCTCTTCGGTGGAAAACGCCTGGCACCAGGAGAAACTGTACTTCTGCAGGGCACGGGCGGCGTATCCATGTTTGGCCTGCTCATCGCGCGCCGCGGGCGCCCGCACAATCATCACCTCTTCGTCCGATGAGAAGCTCGCGACTGCGAAGGAGATGGGCGCGACGCATACTATCAACTACAGGCGTACGCCGACCTGGGAGGCGGAAGTTATGAGGATCACTGAGGGCGCCGGCGCCCATCATATCTTCGACAACGTGGGTATCAACGAGATTGAGAAGTGTTTCGACTGCGTAGCGCCTGGCGGTGTGATCACTACTATCGGTTTCCTCGGTGGGGACGCAAAGACTACACCTAACGTTCCTATGCTCGCACTATTCAGGCAGGCTTCCTTGCGGTACGTCCTAGGGACTATACTACCTCTCGTAGACGACCTGACCCGTTTGATAGGGGCATCAGTGGAGGCAGCAAACGGCATTTCGAGGAGCTGTTGCGGTTTGCGGAGTTGCACCGGATACATCCTCGTGTGGACAGAGTGTTCCCATTCGATCAGGCTATCGAGGCGCTGGAGTACTTGGGAAGTGGGCAGCACTTTGGGAAGGTGGTTATTCGCGTGTCGTCGATATAAGTGACAGATGGCACAGAGTGCTGCGTATGTATCGGTGGCATATGTCTCCGTCGGTTTGACAGCGTTGACAACTACGAGCAATTGAGTTTGTCAGATGGTGTAAGTTTATGTTGGACGTGGCTTCCGAGCGTCTCCTTCATCTAGAGTATCCCAGGTTTCGGATACTTACGTGTACAGCCTGGCTCATTATAACACCGAACTTAAGACTTGATTGTGCGGTTCGCATGACGAGCTATGCATGCAGTGAACGCTGCCTCAGCTTTGAGTTCAGCGAGAATCTCGGGGTGGTGCGCATTGTGGGCAAGGCTACCCTCATACGACTACTCTGGCTATCGCTTCGTCGCATTTTGTGCCGCACCCTACGAGGCGGAAGGCAGACTGCCAATGGGATGTATGAGCGGACAGCATGCATATTCGAGTCACCGGAACGCCTTGCCCGTTATGTAGAAGCCTGGTATGGCAACGTACATAGATGCGAACAAGAAGGCGCCATGTCGCGTTGGCGGTGCGCGCTGACAGTCGGGTGCGCGCTAACCTAATCAAGTTCTGCTATGGCTGTGCGAACTGCCTGGCTATCCTCACAGCTGTCGGCGGGGTGATTTGGATGCTAATTGTTAGCTTATAACAGCCAACGACAGACGGCATACTGAACGGGTGCTCTTGATAGCGGTCTTGAATGCGGACGACAGTGACAGTGAGCGCACAAGACTGCATACTACCTTTCGGGGAGAGCACTGCTGACACGCGCGGGTTTCTGTAGCTTTCCGTCTACTAGCGCATCTCGACGTAGAACAAGACAGGTTTGTGTAGTTCGTTCAGTACAAGTGTTCTTGACGGCAGGTCGATTCACTCCGACACACTGCATGGATACCTCATACGCGCCCTCGAGCTCTCTCTGCACCGTCGGAGATATACCCGCAGACACCAATCATGTCGCGGTACCGGCAACGCATGATCTTCCTATATCTTCGAGGAATGATTCGAATCCACACAGTTCGTTGCCTAAGAAGGAGCCAAACAAGAAGCCCACTTTTGATGCCAACGTCATGGTGGGAGGCAAACCATGGTGAGCGGCGTCGAGGGTCGCTCGAACGTTGCCGCACGCGCTCATGGCCGTCCATCAGCACACCAACACTTTCGCCGCACGGCCCGGGAGACTCACGAAATAGCTCAGCGAGTGACCTTTTGGCAAGGCCAGCCTTGCCGTTCTGGAGCGATATCACACCAACGCCGAATCCGAGTCCGCCGTCACGAGCATACTCGATGGACACGTCTATTAGAGCGTTCGGCCCTAGGGCGTTGACATCATACCGCCTGGCACAAGACACCTTCGGAATCTCAGGAATGATCTCAAATGTATTTGAACTCGCTTTCTTCGAAAACCTACGGAGTGTGGGGACTGAAGAGGAACTGAGGGCCATGATGGCGCGTATCGAGGAGGAGTGGCGATTTGCCACCACTTTGGTGCGTGCACTTGGTGGCCATTGTGTTTCACCAGCTGATGCATCCTAGCTCATCGGATCGCTCATGTAAGTCTGCTGTTGTTATGCGCACGACCCTCGCTTACCAAGAGTGAAGGATCGATGTCCTGGCGCTTAGGTGTCCTCCTTCCCTGGCCGAACTCATCAGCGGATGGCGCCTCAAATTCACCGCCATCTTTACTGCACTCGCGCTCATTGTTACTGGTCTCATTCGATCAATATACTCGAGGGACATGATGCTGGACGCCGAGGTGAGTTCATCTTGACGCCGAGTGGACAGGAGCAGCTCAAACAGTGCCCGGCAGATTGCGCGCAGAATTCATTCGCGCTCGTTTCCCTTCATATCTCGCGTCCCGTTTCTCGTTGCATTTATTTCAGTTATACAACTCTCATTCAACATAATTTCCATGTCATACTCGATATCTCCCAGAATCGTCTTGACTATTTGTGGGATTGTACTGGCGCTCTGCAACCTTGAGCATATTGTTTGGTTCTCTGAGCCTTTATGGAAATACCCGTACCGTTTATTATGTTCCTATGATACTCGGATTGTGCATTGAGGTCATCGCGAACCGTGGTTTCCGTCCGTCGCTTCGGCCACTCTTGACCTTGTCTTTAATCTTGAAGTATGATATGTATACGTCTTGTAGCGACGGCGCTCGTCGCGCCTGGCCTCTCTCGCTAGCTACATGCCTTGTCTGTCAACTATATGATATACTAGCTTGCTCTACCCACTCAATAACTATACATTGGAACTTCTAGAAAGCACGGAGCGCCGCAGCTGTGGCTTTGTATCCGCCCCAAAGCGTTCAACGAGTCTACCTGGGTGCGAAGAGCAGAGCTAAAGACCTGAATTATGTGTAAGACGACCCTCAGGTCGACTGAGAGCGTGGCAGGAGGGCTGCCTGTATCAGCCTTCTACTACAACTGGCGGACGACGCGTGAGGTCACAGCCGTGACATTGCGTAATCCTAGCCCGGTTGCAACGACGCGCTCTGCCTCTCGACGACCACCGGCTTGACAGGTTTTGGGAGGCGGTGTCACTTTGCACTATCCCGACGTTCGATTCACCTGTCTACGGCGTGGCTTCACGCTCGTGCTTGAGGTGAACGGCCAGGAAAGGCGTATCTCTACTGCTGAGGCCATCAGCGCCCTGAGGCAATTTCAGCACGATGGAGTCCGGCCTGCCTAGTGAGGACGTGCATCAGTTCCAATTTGCAATCTGAAACTGAAGAATAAGCAGCTACATATGGTGATGCTCGAAAGGAAGAGCTTTTGCCCAGTCCCAGGGCCGAGGCGCCCGTCGCGGATCCTCACGATAGGACGCGACGCATTCGACTCGTTCGGTTCTTCGCACTGTTGATACTCGGAATATACTTCATCAAAAGCAAAATACTCGACGCCGATGAACTCAGAAAGGCCACGGAGATTATGGTTTATCCTGCATCGTGGACCTACTCGGCGTTTTCGCCACACTACGACCTATACGAGGCTTCTGTCGCGGATCTGCAAGACGGGCTCGGACGAGGGCTATTCACCTCAGTGGACCTGACAAAGGTAATCCGTCTTTATTAGATCGATGCTGGGAAGCGTGCTGACCCTCAGGCCTACCTTGCACGCATTGACGAAGTCAACGTCGTTGGGCCGGAGTTGCGCGCAGTGCTGGAGACGAATCCGCGGGCACTAGAGCAAGCTGCTGCACTTGATGCGGAACGTCTTGCGAATAGGACGCGCGGACCCCTACACGGGATACCGATATTGCTGAAGGACAATATGGCAACGGATGTGGAGCTGGACGGTGCGTGCATCAGTGTACTAAGGATAGACCTGTTTCTCACTGGTACCCGTCGGATTTAGGCATGAACACGACTGTGGGCTCGTATGCTCTCCTTGGTTCTCATCCTCCTCGCGACTCAGCCGCGGCTGCGCGTCTACGCGAAGCGGGCGCCATCATTCTAGGCAAGACAAACCCGAGCGAGTGGTCGCACGGTCGCGCACCATCGCAAATATCAGGCTGGAGCGGGCGCGGCGGACAAACGCTCAACCCGTACTTCGTCAACGGCAATCCCTCGGGCTCCAGCTCTGGAAGCGGTGTAGCAGCCGCTATAGGTCTGGCGACCGCTGCATTGGGGACTGAGACTGACGGCTCCATCATCGGACCAAGTGCGGCCAACAACCTCGTGGGGATCAAGCCGTCGGTCGGGTTGACCAGTAGAGCTGGTGTCATCCCTATCACCCACCTACAAGATACTGTTGGACCTATGGCGCGCTCCGTGGCGGATGCGGCACTGCTGCTCGGTGTTCTCGCCGGCGTGGATGGACGAGATGAAGCCACCCTCAAACAGCCACAGCCTGTGCCGGATTATACGCGTGCACTCAACGCGTCAGGATTGCAAGGTGCCCGATTGGGTGTTCCGCGGGCGCTACTCGGGAATCAGACCTTCATGCCGAGCGTCAACTGCGCGTTCGAGGAAGCGCTGAAGGTCATACAGTCGCTAGGTGCAGACGTCGTGGACCACGCAGAGCTACCGAGTACAGACGAGCTGCTCGTGAACGAGAGCGAGATTGCTGCTGCTTTGGTCGATATGAAGGTGCGTCTTCCATCTTTGACATGGTCGTTGGGTGCTAAGTATCGGACAGTACGATATCGAGGCGTACATCTCCGAGCTCACTTACGTGCCGACCAACGTGAGCGATCTGGCGAGCCTTATCAAGTTTAACGAAGAACATGCCGATCTTGAACTCCCTGAGCCCTGGCACTCTTCGCAGAGCGAGTGAGCGATTCCGTCCCCTTCTATCTCCTTCAGGATGGTGCACTCATGTCTCTTAGTTTCGAAGAGGCCGTTGAACTGGTGAAAGATGACAAGTACTACGATGCTCTGGTGAAGAATAAGGATCTCGGCGCCACACGCGGCATTGATGGCGCATTGAAGAAGTACAACGTCGATGCGCTCGTGATACCCTCGGTAGGCAAGTGCATCTTCGTAACTTCAGTTCAGTGGGGCTTTCACTCACAATCATTGACGGCGTAGGCTTTGTCACTCGTGCTTCAGCTATGGCAGGCTACCCGATCATCACCGTGCCCTTGGGCTTTCTTCCAGAGGACGAAGAGTCCGCACCGGCGAATCCGTTGCGCGACTATGGCCCTGGCATGCCCTTTGGGCTGTCTTTCATCGGCACCGCTTTCAGTGAATTCCAGTTGATACAGTTCGCGTACAGTTACGAGCAGGCAACCCATACCCGATTGAAGAGGAAGGCAATCCCCGAAGCTATACCAAAGACTCGGATTGTTGATGTATTATAGTACCACTCGTTGCTGTATTCCCGCTACGCTAGTAGTGGGTCTTGGTGGCACGCACTCAACATCTGAAAT